TCAAAAAATTTAGAAAAAATTACAGGGATCTTAAACTTTTGATCTAAAGATTTATAAAATGATTATTAATATATTATAATATATTTATCAAATTAGTTACAAATTTTTTCTAATATTTTGTGCAGTATTCTTTCTTTTTTATTTATCACTATTTACAATTTCTTTAATACATTTTTTAGAAAATTATTAAATTCTGAAATAAATATATTATTTGAACTAATCTTTAAAATATTAAAAATATTAATATTAATAAAAATTTTATAAGATTATAATATAAAATAAAAATATGCATAAAATCTATATTGATATATAATTTTTTAAGTAATATATTATATTAAAAATTTTCTTAACTAATATTTCTGATAGATTAAACTTTACTTCAAAATCTGTTTTTCACCAATCAGATGATAATATAAAATTAATATATTTTCAAAAAAATCTTTTATTTTTATTTTTTTTTAATATTGTAATTTATTTTTTATATATATAATAGATATTTTGATAGAATTAAAATAATTTTGAAATGAAAAGTGATTATTATATAATTAAGTTAAAAAAGAAAATTATTAAATTTTTATAACATAAAAATTTTAAAATTAACATAATTACCTAATTTTTATTTTCTTTTTATATATAAATTTTTTTATATATATTGTTATATGTATTATTATATTTTATATTACATAAATAAATTTTATATTATACAAATAGATAAATCTATGTAAATCTTTTTTTTACTGATATATCAATTTTAGTATAAAACCTTATTAAAAGTTTCTGAATATTATCTTTCCACTATTTTATACTGATTACATCATATGACTGTTTAATACTGTAATTATATAATGTTCTTAACCTTATTTATTTGAATCAAAACCAAATAAAAGCGTGTTTGGTTTGTTTAATTTGATTTTTAACCAAAATAATATTTTAACTTTTAAAAATCACAAAAATGTTTAACAGAATGTGATGGTATAAATTTTACTATCAACATGGTGATAGTTACTAAGCTATTGTCGCAAATATCAGTTATAAATTTTTAACAGTATTTAGAACTTTAAAAAGAATGGATAATACTAAAATTGTTAATTCAAGGCTGCATTTTGATTAATCATTCTTAATTAAGATTTGCAATGAAACTAGCTAAAGTGATTTATTACTATGTCACAGTAAATTCAGACTATAATAAAGCAAATAAAGGCTTGACTAAGTACTATTTATTTCATAATTAATAAATAAATTAATAAATTTTTTAATAAACTTTAAAATTTTAAGTTTTATATGAGCCAAAAAGTATTCAGAAACTTTTAGCAGGGGTTTGTATATAAGTTATATGATAAAAATTTTACTATAAATAAAATCTTAAATTTTCATAAACTGTTATGACTAGATTACAGAATCTAAAAATTTATTTTATACAGCTTTGTCTTCTTAAAGATTAACTAATCAGATAGTATAATATTGATATATAAACTTTTTTTATTAATAAAAATAATTATTAATAAACTTTACATTTTTGAATTAATTTTAAATTTTAATGTTATGTGAATTGAGAAATTGAAGTTATATAGTCTTATAAAAAAAAATAAATAAAGTTTTTTTACTTTGAATTATAGAATATATAGAAAGAAAGAAAATAATTATTAAAAATAAAATAGATAATTTTAATTTGAAAACTATAATTATAGTCAATTCTCTATAAATACACCTTTTATAAATGCACACTTTTTATAAATGCATCTTTTTATCTGGTCTCAACTTGGGCTTTAATACTAAATGCACATTTTTTATATATATACTCTCTGTAAATACACATTTTATAAAAAAATTTTATATAGTTTACTTATAAATTTTTTATATTAGCTTAATTTTAAATTAGTATTATATAGATTTATATATATTCTATAAATGCACATTCTCTTTAAATGCATCTTTTTACCTAGTTTTAAGAGGAATATATTTATAGAGAGTTGATTATATTATACAAAAAAATCTAATATATTAAATAGTTATATTTTATTAATAAAAATTTAAATATACAATCAATTTTTGTTATAATAAACTTAATAACTTAGATCTCAACTTCACTATAAAGCTATAGTGAAGATTTTAAGAGATTTAATTGACTAATTTACTATAACAAAAGTATTTTTATTATATTTGTTCAAAAATTTTGTTATATTAAGAGTTTACTATATTTAGAGTTAATTATACTATTATATTTAATTAATATTTTTATTATAAAATATGAAATAATTATAATAAAAATTTTTATTTTAGTATTATATTTTTTAAATAATAAAATAAGCTTTTTAAAACCATAAAAAATTATAATAAAATTATAAATCTTAAGCTAGTTCAATATATATTTTATTTTAGAATTGTTTATAATACTTTTACATATTAAAATCAATATATAATAGACAACATGTTAAAAAATTCTTTTTAAAACTATTAAATCATTTAATTTTTAAACTTATAAAATATTTTTTGAGAAGTAAACGAATGATTTGTATAAGACAAAATTCAAAAACATTAGTAATATCACATAGTTGTATTATATACAAAGTCAAAAAGTAAAAAAATAATAAAAAAACATAAAATTATGTTGATTAATTGATCAATATCTATATAAATGTTTATTTACTATGATCGATATATGACATATTTAGTATTTGATATCAAGGCTGAATATATTATACACAAATCATTTTATATTAAAAAATTTTGTGTAATTATAATTGAGTTACTTTACTATTGATTTTCCTTTTAGATAATTACTTTTTTTACATTTACATACAATTTCACTTTAAAAATAAGTTTTTTCAAGAACTTCTTATAAGTAGATATAAATATATAACTTTAACTTTAACAACAAAAATATATGTAATTTTATGGGAAGAAGAATGTTCTCTTAAGTTGTAGAGTTATGTTGTTCAGTTGGATTTTATGTAAAATACAAAAAATCGATATTTTAAATAAAAGAATGAATTTTTATATTATAAAAATTTTATGACGAGAAATTTTTAATAAATATTTTGAATTTAAATACAACTTGGTGAAAATAATAACTTTTATTAAAGGTAAGTAATTTATGTTCTTTGAATGACACTATCAAGCTAAATAGACAATATTAATAAAACACTAAAAAAATATGTAAAAATAAGAAAGATTATTAAATAATAAGAAAATAATATATTTTACTAATTTAAAATTATATATTATAGAAGATTATTGAAAAAATTTAAATATTCTATATTAATATTCTATTCTAATAAGATATAAAATACCTGTAAAAAAAAATTTTCATTTAGTATGATCACATTAAAATTAAATACCTTAAGTTAATACAACATATTTTTCATGTTAAAGCGAACGTTTTATGTGACTGAAATTCATAAAATTATGTCGATCAACTGATCGACGTCTATATAAATGTCATTTGCCATGATCGACATGCGACATGTCTCGGCTCCGGACTAATAATTTATATGGGTAATCTAAACATTTGTTATACAGAAACCTACACATTTTGATATTCATCACAAAAATTAATCTTACCTAATTATAAATGCAATAATAGAAAACAAAAAAAAAAATAAATTCAGAGAACAAAGGAATAAAATAATAATAATAATAATATCTATTTGTTAAGAAATTGGATAATTTTTACTTGCAATTAGTAAAAGAAAAAAAAACTAAGTTAGTCAACATTTCAACCATATCAAATAAAATTAACGAAATGAATGGAAATAATTTTTGTATATTTTTTACGTTTCTTTTTTTTTTTTTTTTTGATTTCCTGAAGCTTTCTACTTCATTCCCACTTCTTCTCTTTTCCCAACAACTCTTCTTTTCTTTCCAGCCTCACCTTCTCCTTGTCTTTTCTCTTTCTCTTCAACTTCTTCAGCCACTGCCCGTTTCCTTCTGCTTTATTTAAAAAAAGATCGTAAAATTACTTTATTATGCATAATTTAGACCAATGATAAATTATCGGGCACATGACTTTGAATTTAAAACAAGTTAAATAAATAAATGATAACTTGTAAACCAGATACATTAAAGCATAGAAGATTTACATATCGCAAACTACTTATACGTGTTCTATATAATTAACCACATATTAAATAATTCCAATGATCTTTATTGTAATTTCAACCATATGAACGAAGTCACTAGTCTCTTTTCCTCGGATTAAATAATAGTGACGACGATCATAAAATGGTCAGATCACATTAAATTTAGTTTATTAGAAAATCTAATAAAAGATGTCCACGGGACCATCCTACCGTTTAAGTATAACGATAAACGTCGTTTATGTGAATTAGTTCTTAAATACTAAATCAAAATCAATTAGATCTTGGTAAAACTGAATTATAATTTAGATAATCTTTAATCGCATATATATACTTACAGAAGGCCCCATCTTATTCAAAATATTTACGTTATTTCAAAGAATGGATGTGGAGAGAAAATCCATGATTTGAAGGATATTTTTTTTTTTTACAGGTTCAACATTTATTTCGTTAAACGTTATACAGAAATTAGTATATTAACGAGATATTTCATATGTTAGAAACTGTCATAACGGACGTTTTAATAGTGATGTACCAATAACAAAAGATAAACAAAAAAGCAAATGGAAAAAGATAAAGTAAAAAAAAGGAATTCTTATTTAATATGTGAATTTTATTGAATATTTGATAATAAAATCTTTGATTCTTTCTGTGGACTTTATCATTTTATCTTTATCCTTAAAGAAAAGGAAACATGTTGTTTACATTATTAAATTATTTTTACCTAATAAAAAAGTGGTCTGCAATAGTTGGTTGTTCAACTTAAAAAAAAAATTATTTGAACACAAATCATCACACTATCACCCTTATAACCCTCCCTGTTTCACTTCATAAATTGTTCGCGCCAAAACCATTTTAACCGAGCAAAAGTCAACCTATTAATTAAACTTTTAATTTTAACTTTTTACTTTCTTTTTTGTGAATATGAGTAAATTTAAGAATGGGTGGACTGTAAACCGTAACGTTGAAGACCCGATCCTTCGTCCTCGTCCTATCTCACAAGAAGGTTATAATTATCCAGCGGAACATGCAAATGATAAAAATTATCTAAACCCAAACTCTAGACGTCAACCAATACGTCAATATAGTTCTTCGGCTTCTTTAGAAGTGCGTCATGAGCATAATCGTCAGCAGAGAGAACAAGAATTTTTTGCAAATTCGCCATCTGCTACACAAGGTTCTACTGAAAATTTACGAAATGCGCCAGTTATGCAATCAAATGTCAGTGACTCTGGTTCATCAGATTATTATCAACGATCCGTTAGACAGGCAAATAACTACCATAATTCCTCATCACCTTCAAATACTCATTTACCTCCACAAAATAACAGAGATTTTAAGGGAACCGAACCAAATTTAAATCTTCCTTCTAATTCGCATGGCATCGTCCCTTATTCAAACCTTCCTTCTAATTCACGTGGTATTGTCCCTCATTTCCCCAATCAAACCATCAAACAAAATTATAATTCAACACAACCTAAATTATTAAATAATTCACGGTCCATTCCATCACAACACATAGTGGTTGATCGACCAATTCGAAAAGATTCATACGGGTCTTCTTCACAACATTCTATGGATTCACAAAGATCTACTTCACAAGAGTCATTTTTAAGCGCGTCTCCTTCTCAATTACCATCAGGTTCTCATGGCATCGTACAACGTAGTATACATCCAGGAGGACATATGAATCAATCACAATCCAAAGATAATAATAAATCTCAGCGTTTAAATTTGCCCAATCCTGTTTCGATAGAAGATTACATTTCACAAGCAATTAAATATCATGAAGATAATCAGCTTGAGAAGTCCACAGAGTATTTAAGGATAGCAGCAGAACGGAATTCTGCTGTTGGAATGGTCCTTTACGGAATAGCTTTAAGACATGGATGGGTAATTAGAATTAATTAATTTTCATATATATTCAATTTATTCCTTAATATCATTATTTAATCGAGATACGTGTTAAAAATATTCTTTAGGGATGTAAAGTAGATACTGCATTAGCATTCGGATATCTTGAAAAAGCTGCAGGGTCCATGATTAATATTAAAAATGGTATTAATGAATCGGTTAGCATGTCATCATTTAGAGGAGAATTAATTTTGGCAATTTATGAGTTAGGGGTATGCTTTCGACATGGTTGGGGTATTCCGAAAAACAAGGCAACAGCCGCATCCTATTTTGAAATTGCCGCTAACATGGTATGTTAATTCTTGGAAATTAATGGTCTAACTTCGTAAAATTGTCATTATTAAAATTTTTTTTTTTGAAATGTAGGGTGATCCTGATGCACAAAATGACGTGGCACTTTGTTATTATAAAGGTGAAGGGGTGAAAAAAGATATGAAAATGGGTAAGTGTAAAAATATACACACACACATATATATTTTAAAAAAAAAAATTAACTAAATTTACATTTCCAATAGCCGCCAAATTTTATAGGATGGCAGATGCACAAGGTCATGGTACATTGGGTAATTCTTGGATTTTCAAAGCTAAATATAATGATGATAAGAAATGAAACACTTTAATTATTTCTTTTGCGAGGCGTGTGAATTTCCGTGGATCGGGAAGAAGTGGATCCTCTGATTGAGGCTGGCATTAATGGGATTAAAAAAAAAAATAATCATTCATTCTTTGGATTCAAACTCACTCCCTTCTTTTATGTCTCCCTTTTTTTTGATGTATATAATTATTTATTTTTGTTAAATTATTTTTTTTATTTTTGCTTTTTTAGCATAGAATTTATTATTTATAGATGTAACATATAATAGCTACTAAGGCATATTGTTATTTCTTACATTCACATTTAAGAATCAAAAAAATAATGATCATTTCCTTCATATTATATAGTATTTATTTATTCATTTAATTAATTATCCTATTATTTATATTATTTACTCATTTATATTTTTGAGTTTGTTTTATTCTTTGAATTTTTGAAAGTTTTTGAAAAATTGTTAATTCATTGAGAAAAAAAAAAAAAATCAAAAACCAAAAAAAAAAAAGAAAAAAAAAATGGTGATTTACTTAAATTTTTTCATTTATTAAACTTGTAATTTTACCCCACAAATTTCTTAAATTAACAAGTGACGTCAATCAATAAATTGGATCAGCATACAATGTGATTCGCTACTTTTTTAATTTCCGATGACATTAATATTCCAATTAAGGAGTCACATGTTAATACTTCATCCCAATTCCGCGGAATATATTTCCCACTTTTATGCATATTATTTTTTTTGATTTCTCATTCATTCCTCCTTATAATGGCTGATCCTTACTTATGTTCGTTAAGTCAATGTATAATTAATGACATAAAACTTCCAGGTTGGTATTTAATTATTAAAGACGTGGCGAAGTGTAAATTTATTATTCTGAATTCTGAATATTTTCCTTACCTCGTGTTTAAAGATGGGACATTTAAACAAAATGTTTTAGGTGGAGGCGGTGTATATGCGACATACGGTAATTTTATTTCGTTTTTATTATAAATAACTGTGATAAATATTCGAACGAACTTTTATTTTATACACTTTTGCTTTTATTTTTATTTAAAACAAAAAAAAACTATTAGGAATGAGGTTATGGTTTTCTTCACCAGAATCTCAAAGAATCGCATATTCATTTCACGCTGGCTATGATTTTCCAATTAGCATTCTACAAAAATTATTATCATTAAATATTTCGTTAACACAGATATGGCATTCGAATTTACCTTCGATTCGTGGATTAGCAACTTTTACATCCGCAGATCAACGTGTATTTGTATATCAAACTCCACCAATAGGGACGGTGCCAGCCGACTTACCAAGTTCATATCTAAATTCCAAAATTTTTCATTTCATTTGTTCATCAAATTGGGCCTCACAACATATTACAGAGATATTAAGATTAAGAGATAAACAATTACCACCACCAACCTTTGTTTGGGAACCTGTACCAAATAGTACCACAAAAGAGAATTTACAATCTTGTGTGGAGGCTATGAAGATGGTTGATGTATTATCACCGAATCATGAAGAAGCGGCGGCACTTTTAGGATTAATAAGTGAGGAAGATGAAGAAGTCGATAGATTTTTATCTGAAGATATGTTGACATATATGGCAGATAGGTTTTTATCATATCAAATTGGACCTCATGGAAATGGATGTGTTGTAATTAGAGCTTCTTACAAGGGATGTTTAGTAGCAACAAAGGAAAAAAAAGAAATAATACCAGCTTATTGGACGACATTAAGGGATGGTACAAAAGATCATCATGTAATCGATGTTACGGGAGCAGGGAATGCTTTTTGTGGAGGTTTTATGGCTGGATTAATTCGATCTAATTATGATGTATTTGAAGCCGCTTTATTTGGATCTGTTAGCGCTTCGTTTACTGTTGAACAGCTTGGAGCGCCGAGGCTGGAATTTAATCAAAATGGAAATGAAATTTGGAATTCAGGCGATGACCCACAAGAAAGATTACAAAAGTTAAGACAACGAGTTAAAGAAAAGCTTAAAGAAAAATTAAAAGTGAAATTAAAAGAAAGGATTCAAGAAAAGTTGAAAAACAGGGATGTGAACCAACATCATCATCAAAATGGAGTTGATACGGTACAAGTCGAAAAAGACGGTAATGATTTTATTAGCGATGGGAGAGGCTTGATAGATCACGAAAATTTTCGGGATAGCGTGAGTCCGGCTGATTAAATTGACCTCCATTCCTTTTTATAACGAAAAATAATTATTTATTTCAAGATTGGAGAAATTAATCGATTTGCTATATTCTAGATAATTGAAAATTTCGGACTTTTTTTCAATTTTTCTAGTTGCTTTTTTTTTTTTTTCTTTTCGAAATTTTTTAAAAGATCGTTGGTTACTTTGATATTTAATGATATACGTCGGTGTAACGGCTACAATCATGTGATTAACCACGATTATAAAAAAAGCAAAAAAAAAAAAAAAAAAAATCGTTTTTACAGATAATCTTAGTAATTGTAAATAAATAAAAAAAAAAAATGATTTCAAATTTCTATATAACCCGATTAACTCTACCGCGGCCCATGATCTTGGAAAGGTTTAATCGAACCCGATACCTAACGTATCATAGATTGTCGATAACTTCTACTTTTACAACTGCTAGTAACATTTCCGGAGAGGTTCAACCTTCTCTTCTTACAAAATTGAGAAGCGAAGTTAAAAATGCCATGAGAAAAAAAGATCAATTAAAGTTAAATGTTGTTCGGGTAAGTAATTCAGTTTATTAATATGAAAAAATAAAATTACATTGAAATAAAAACTATAGCGAATTTTCTTAGGGAATACTTAGTGATGTTACATATGCAAGCAAATCATCTTCACAGTCAACGGGTATCATTCCAACCGACCAAGAAATATATGCAATGATTAATCGTGCCATAAAACGTCGACAAGAATCAATTACACAATTTTCTCAGGCCGGAAGAAAAGATTTAGTTGAAAATGAACAAGGTGAATTAAACATATTAGTCTCTTATTTACCAGAACAAATGTCTGAGAGAGAGATTGAAATTGAAGTTAAGAGAGTTGTAGAAAAGCTTGGTATTACTGGAGAAGGAGGATCAAAAGATTTGGGCAAGATTATGAAAGAAATTAAGATTGATAATAGTAAGGCTTCAAAGAAACTCGTGGTAGATGTTGTAAAGAAACTTTTATCTGAAAAGAGTAAAAATGAATGATTCGATCTTGATAAATTTGATTTTATATTCTATATGATCATATCTACTTACACATTAATAGGTATCAAAAAAAAAATCGCAGGGGTCAAAAATTTAAGTGACCACAAAATTACACATGTACCCAAATCAGATTTGGAAAAAATTAATAAAACCTTGACAAACACGTTGAAAATTTTGAAAAAAAGCGGGTTACATTTAAGCTTGAACCCCTGAAATTTTCTATATAAATCAAAGTAAAATCTCTGATAGCCCTGATCTGCACAGAATTCGTTGTCTTTCTTTTTTATAATAAATATTACTGTTCCCATTTCTTTTTTATTTTAATTCCTTTGATAGAGTGCGATCACGGAAATTAGCTACGTAACAAAACATTGTGGTTCCTAATTAAAACTTTCCCTAGCATTCTTTGACTTTCACCATTTTAACCGTGTTATCACTAACCTTGTTATTATGATGAATGACTTAATTCCTTTAGTTAATAAACTTCAAGATGTTTTTAATACGATTGGTAGTGATACTGTAGATTTACCTCAAATCATTGTCGTGGGATCACAGTCATCTGGCAAATCTTCAGTACTAGAGAACATTGTACAACGAGATTTTTTACCCCGCGGTAATGGCATTGTTACTCGGCGACCTTTAGTTCTTCAACTTGTTAATATACATGCCAAGGAAGATTCTGAACCTGAAGAATATGGAGAATTTTTGCATGCTTCAAATCAAAAGTTTACTGATTTTGCAGAAATTAGAAAGGAAATCGAAGCAGAAACGGCTAGAATTGCTGGACAAAATAAGGGAATTTCAAGATCCCCCATGCAACTAAAAATTTATTCGCCTAATGTTCTTAATTTGACTTTGGTAGATTTGCCTGGATTAACAAAGGTCTAAAAATAAATTGTTTTATGAAAAGTTTGTTACTTGAACTATTTTATTAACTCTTAACTTCGTTTGTGAATTTAGATTCCAGTTGGTATATATTCTTTTTTCTTCTCCTTCTTCCTATTGTTTTATTGACATTAGAATTACTAAATTAAATGTTTCAATAAATAATTCTTTATAGGTGACCAACCTACTGATATTGAAAATCAAACTAGAAATTTAATATCTGATTATATATCTAAACCGAATAGGCACGTGTTTGTTAAATTTGCAAGCTTATTTTGACGACTATTTTTTCAAGAAAAAAATTCTTTTTGTTAACTAGTTTGCCTTTTATTACTCGTGTAGTATAATTTTGGCTGTTAGTGCAGCTAATGTCGACTTGGTAAATTCAGAAAGTCTAAAACTTGCAAAGCAAGTTGACCCAGAAGGTAAATATAATTTCGTTCTCAAATCAATTGTTATTGAAAATAATATTTTAATACATTCGATTATTTTATGTAGGAAGACGTACCATCGGAGTCTTAACAAAGTTAGATCTTATGGATGCTGGTACAAATGCGTTAGAGATTCTTACTGGTCGTGTTTTGCCTTTAAAGCTTGGCTTCATTGGAGTTGTTAATCGTAGCCAACAAGATATTGTGGGTAACAAACCAATGGTTGAAGCTTTGAAGTCTGAAGCTGAATTTTTCAAACATCACCGGGCTTATCGAAGTATTGCCTCCCGATGCGGTACTCCTTTCTTGGCCAAAACGTTGAATAACGTACTATATAAATATATTTATTTATTTATCTATTATCATCATTTGAGATATTCGACATTCACTTCAATCTTATTTTTTTTATTATTAAAAAAAAAAGATTCTCATGAATCATATACGGGAAAGATTACCGGACATAAAAACTCGAATTAACACTCTAATCGGACAGACTTCACATGAACTTATGTCATATGGAGATTCTACACTTGAAGGAAAATCAAACAGGGTATTTTGAATTATAATTCTTTAACACGTCGCGTCCTTATGAATTAATTTATATATATATATATATTTTTTTTAAAAAAAAAACTTTAATGCTAATTGTTCATCATTAGGGAGCATTGATACTAAGGCTTCTTACCAAGTTCGCTAGTGATTTTGTTTCATCAATTGACGGAACTTCATCAGACATCTCCACAAAGGAATTGTATCCTTTATGAAAATTATTCATATTTTAGAGAAATAAGCTTACGCATCCTTAATAATATCTAACCTATAGATGTGGTGGTGCTCGAATATATTACATTTTCAATAATGTTTTTGGCGCAGCACTCGAGTCAATTAGACCTGGTGGAAATCTCACAGTTCAAGATATTCGAACGGCCATTCGTAATTCTACTGGTCCACGACCTTCTTTATTTGTCCCGGAAATTGCATTTGATCTTTTGGTCAAGCCTCAGATTCTTTTACTACTGCAACCAAGTTTAAGATGTGTCGATCTTGTTTATGAAGAGTTAATGAAGATCTGTCATGGTTGCGGAAGTGTGGTATGATTTATATAATTTCTGAATATAATATATAATGTGTATTAATTATTATCATTAAAAATATATTGATATGAAATATATTTAACGACCTTAATTTAACAATTTATAGGAATTGAGTCGTTATCCACGTTTGCATGCTAAACTTCTTGAGGTTGTTTCAGATTTACTTCGTGAGCGACTAGCTCCTACTTCCGAGTACGTTGAAAGTTTAATTAGCATTCAACATGCTTACATAAATACCAATCATCCGGATTTTATTGGCGGAGGCGCTGCTATATCAGATCTCGTTCGAAAGAATGAAAGAAAACGAAGGGAATTTGAAAAATTAAACAGAAGGGTAATAAATTAAGTCAAATTGCAAACTTGACTCGTTTCGTATTAATAATTGTATTAATACTTTTATAGTCAAACAATTCAAGCGGTGTCTTAAATGTGAGCGTTCAATCAAGTGTTGTTAGTAAAGATGAAAATGATGGTCCATTAGTTTCAGATAATTTAAAAGAACCTGGTGGTACTAAAGATATTAACCTACATAATGGCATGAATAATCCTTCATCATGGGCACAGCGCGAGTCATTTTTAACATATTTCTTCGGAAGTGGAAATAAGACCGATAGAACGGTTTTACCTGACCAACCAATATCTATTAGAAATCCTAGAGATATTGAAGAGTTAGAACAAAAGTTGGAGCATGTAAGCACAATAACTATCTTGATGTTGAGTCATGTTTGATTAGTAACTAAAAAAAAAAACCTTTTATTTTGGTAAAAAAAAGATTTCCTTAGATGAAGGTGTCAATCATCTGACTGAACGTGAAGAATTGGAGACTCAATTAATACGTAAGTATTTTTTCAATACATTATCATTATCTTCTTCGTGTTACAGAAATTTTTATATTAAACAAAACATTCTGTTTTTCTTCAATTATAAAGGTTCGCTTATTACATCTTATTTCGACCTTGTACGTAAAGCAATTCAAGATACTGTACCGAAAGCCATTATGCACCATTTGGTCAATCGTTCTCGTGAAACGGTTCAAAATAGATTGGTTGAAGAATTATATAAAGAGGAATTGTTTGCTGATTTGTTACAAGAAGATGAGAACTTGACTAATGAGAGGCAAAAATGTAAGACTATGCTTGAGGTTTACAGAGAGGCCTTTGAAATCATTAACGAGGCCATGTAAAATATGAATATACACACATATATTTACATATAATATAAATATTTGAAGTTGAACATTAAATAAGTGAAAATAAGTTATTCTTTTACTTGTTATTCGCTTATCATCGAACATTTATTATTTAGATTTATTTTTTTTAACGTGACAATTTTCACTTTTTATTTGATTTTATCCTCTTTGTTTTTTTTTTTTTGGTAATTATGTTTATGTTTATTTTTATTTTTTTTAATACCAACTTTCTAGAAAAATTGCATTTTTGATTTATTAGTATATGTTAGGGCCAATAATAAGTTATAAATCAACCATCCCATCCAAATTTAACATCAAATTTCTCAAAAATTAAATTTTTTTTACTATCCTAAAATAAATAAAAATAAATATTAAAAAAAAATTACAAAAAAAAAAAAATCAAAAAAAAAAAAAAATCAAAAAATCAAAAAAAATCAAAAAATCAAAAAACAAACAAAAATAAAATAATTAAATACTTGTTTCTTTTTTTTGTTGCTCATTTATAATGATAATTTAAACTAAATTTTGGTATTATAATTTCAATATTAAAGAAAATATACAGGTGAAATATATCGTTAAATTTTGATGTAAAATAATAATTATATCTTTACTCCCCCAAAAGAAATAAATGGTTAAAAAGAATGAAAAAAAAAATCAATGATAATACACTAAAAATAAGAATTTTTAAAGTTGCAGTTAATATATATATACACATATATATATAATGTGAATTGATGCTGTTGATGAAGATGAAGAAGTTCTCTTAATGATAAACTATCTATTATAATTGACTATATGCTCTGATATATATATATATATAACAAAAAAAAAGGATGGTAGTATATTAAATGATGAAAAAAGAAGTAAAAGAAAAAAAATTGTCCGGATTCGTATATAGGTAGGTTGATAAAAGAAGTTTATTATTTTAACAACTATGATTCCTTTAAATGTATTTGATATTTCCTTTCTTTCAATAAATTCATTTGTAATCGTGTTTTTGAACCATCAGGACGCTGTATTACAACCTGAAATTTTAGTTTATTTTTACAATATTCGCTTAGTTATCAAGGTAAAGAGCATACTAAAATGATCATATAAAAGGTGATGTACCTCAGAATCCGTAGCAGCAACAAATTTCGCAGTATAGCGCCCTGATGTAGAATCACTAATAAGAACATGGTCACCTTTAGCGAACCATTGTCCATGGTATAGGAAACGATCACCTGCAGCATATATATCACTGTCTGTTTCTTCAAGGAATGTATTGTTGTCACCATCCAGAAATGGACCAGTTATAGTATTTATCTTAGGTGATGAAGATGAAGATAAAGCAGCAACAGCTATGATTATTCAGTACATAGCAAGGTATTGCATATAAACTGTTAGATAATATTTAAGGTATAAGTACATTTCGATCAGATATTTAACATACCTTGCAATTCATCTTCTCTTGCAATCTTGATTATATATATTATATTAGATTAGATTTCAATTTATTTATTTATTTATTTTTTTTTACAAAAGATATCGATTATATTTACCCCTAATAGTATTAGATCTTCTTCAATTTCGGCGTTATGCAACGAATCTAACGTTAAAGGTAAGTTTCAGTTAAGGAACAAGAAAAAAAAATTTATAATTGAAGAAATTAAAATACAAAATATTATAAAAAAAAAAATATTTTTTTTTATGTATATATAATCTCTAATAAACACACCCGCGACCTATTTATAGGCCTAATTCTGGTCGTGGAAGAGTCGATTAGTTTTGATAATTCTTCACTATGGACATTCCTTAAGTAAAATTTAATATTAATGGTTAGCCAGAATCATGGCCTATAAGTAAGTTCGTTGGTGTATTTATAGAGCTACATTGATTTAAAAGTCAAGGATATCTGCTGGGAAGCCATAATGTGTTTGCACATATTTTAATTCGGCTATGTTTAATAATTTCATATTTTTCCGCTGAGTTAAATGGTTATGATCAGGTCCGGAATATTCTGTTTTAACGAATAAAATAATTTGTTAAGATTACTCTGTGAGAGAATAAATAATATGCTGAATAAAAATCATGACTTTACTATTAACCTATTCGGCCCAATATATCTAAACAATTCTTTTCCTTAATCAATTGCCATCTTTTGCTTTCCATATCGTCGAGCTTCTTCCTTCGTGATTCGTATTTATCCGACTAATTTGTATATATAAATATATATATATATACATTATTATATTATTTAGCGTTCTTACATTACTATAAAGTCCAAATTGATCAAATACACTACCATAAATTCGCATTGTGCCTTATATTCCGCTTCTTCATATTGTTTGTGACAATGGATTACTTGATATTTCTTTCTTGATTCGGCTATTTCTAACCGTCTACGCCTTTTTTGTTCAATTTCTTCCATGCGAGCAATCAATTCCGGATGAGTCCCTATCAATTAAAAAATTATTTCAAAAATTATTGGTAATCTATTTTAAAACAAATGTCAAAGAAAATATACGATTCGGATCGTTTACTTATTAAACATCGACAATCCAAATTCATAATACATAATCTTACCTTCATTTATCATTTTAATGTCCTTTTCCAATTCTTCAATTTGCTCACGATATAACCTAAAAAATATATGTTAATTTAAGATAGAAGTCATTGATTAAGAATAGCAAAAATACTCACTGATCCCTCAACTGTGCAAAATCCTGTTCGACTATTTTTAGATCATTCTGTACTTCAGCTCGAGGCTTTTCATTTTCGTCTGGTTCTATAATGATAATATATAAAACATAAATAATTCGAAAAAGAATTGCCGCAGCTATGGTCTGCGCCACCAATCACATGACGTCATCGAGGTACTACGTTACGTTGCGGGAAAATTATTGGTAATGCAGAATTATTTTTTTTTTTTTCGAAATATGAACAGATCAAACGACTTTCACTAACCCTCGAATATTGAAAATTAGACAAAAAATAATAAAAAAAAGAGACATGCCTTCTGACTTATTATTTCCTACTATGGAACCGTTTTCTTCGTTTCCGTTTTCCACTCTAACGTCCCAACGTCGTCTTTTTCTAACCCTGTTGTTTTCCGTATTTTCGACTATAGGTACTTCGTCTTCAGACATTGTTATGAGGTTTTTGGATTTAGTATCATCCTGTATTATGGAAGGTGATTCTGATTGTGAACTTATTTCGGATGAATAATTGGGTGTTGATGGTGAAATTGGACTGTCAGATTTTTCCACATGTTTGATGTCTAGAGAATCGCTACGGACAGGTTGAGTTTTGTTTCCATTCGTCTCTTTAGTAACGCCGTTTTGTACTACTTCATTATTTTTCCAGGAATTAGTTGGTTTATGTTTGATACCATTCCTTTCGCTTTTCGGGTATTCTGCCTTTTCGGAAACCGATGGTTTCTTCATTTCCGACTCATTGTCTGTACTAATTTGACTATTGGGAAGAGAAGTAGTATCTTTTTCGATCGAGAAGTTCGTCCCAGGTTTGAAAATTTCTTGACTTTCGGCTTGTTTGTCAAGTCTATTCTCAAGCGAACGACCTCTTGATGTAGTCGATTGCAGCATCAAGCTCGTTGTTACTGGTAAGGAAAATAAAAATAAAGGAATGCGAAAGTAGTCGTCTAAACTAAAATTAATAATTAAAATGATATTCTTATATTATACAAGAACAAAATGTCCAGTTTTCTAAGAAATAAAAAAAAAAAGAGCAATTTATAAAAGTATAAGGTTTTTTTTGTGGGGATGAATTTAAAGGGTTTTATAAAAAAAAAAGTCATATATATATGATACATTTGAAATGACGTAGCAAATAAAAAAATTCTTGGAACACAATTATGCGAGTTCAAAGCCACCCATTGAGGAGAAATTTGTACAATAAAAAAAAAAAACTTGATCTTAAGATACACAAGACTTTATGAATTTGATAATCATCCCATTGGCCATGTGTCATTCATTATCTTTCAGATTGACAGTATTTATACAGCTATATTTTGTCCCTTGTTTTTAATTTTTAAAATGTCGAGTTACGCTCCAGGATCTTTATTACAAACAATATTGGGGTCAAAATCTTTAGAGATTAATAGTGATCTCGATTCTTTGTTTAAAAACAGCGTAAGATCTAACCTCTTACATAGTCCATTAGAGATTGGTATTCGTGTATAAAACACAATCGCTTTTTTTAGGCAGGACCAACTCAACAACTACCCACAAATGGCGAAAAGCAGCTTAAACGAAAACGTTCGGTTAAAGGCTCAGAGTCTCAAAAGAGAACCAAAGTTATAGAAGACGTTGAATCCAATTCTGCTAGTACCAATAAGAAAATTACCGAGTTGGATAAAAGTGTTTATGCTGAAACGGAAGATTCAACTAACTTAAAAACAACGGAACTTGATGATAATGATCGATGTAAAAAAGAACTGCCAAAAGAAGATCCTGAACGCTTGCAAAGAACGATCTTTGTGGGGAATTTACCAATTTCGGTAACTCTAAAGGTTACGTATCTTGCATTAATCTATTATGATACACTTTGTTATCGATAATATAATTTGTTAAGTTTTAATTAAAAATCATATTAGGCCAATAATAAAAAGTTAAAAGCCCTTTTTTCTCAATTCGGGAAAATCGAAAGTGTACGATTTCGCTCAATCGTAAGTTCCTATATATATCTATCTATGTTAAATAAGGTCGAAGTAGTTTTTTTTTAACGAGATTATGATTCACGTTCTAGGCATTTTCCGAGTTGCTTCCTCGTAAGCTTGCCTTTATTACTGGCAAACTTCATCCTGAGAGAGATGTTCTAAACGCCTACATTGTATATAAAGAACTATCATCCGTACAAAATGCCATTACTATGAATGCTCAAATGTTTATGGAAAAGCACCTTCGAGTTGATTCCGTAGCTAACCCACAAGTATGTCGTTTTTTTTTTAAAAAAAAAAAAAACATACATTTATCACACATAGATATCTAGATAATTATTTTGATTTTTTGATTAGAATCATGACAGAAGGCGAACTGTATTCATCGGAAATATGTCTTTTGATGCACAAGAGGAAGAGTTATGGGTACAATTTGAAAGTTGCGGGGAAATCGAAAATGTTAGAATCGTAAGGGATAATAAAACCAATGTTGGAAAAGGATTTGCATATGTACAATTTAAGGTAAGTAAAAAGAAATTTAATGGAATAATCTGCGTATAGATATTTAAATAATTTAATTAATATTTAGGAACGCGCTTCCGTTGAATTTGCTCTCAAGCTAAATGACACAAAACTTGGCAATCGAAATATCCGAGTGACAAGATGTGCAAAAGCAAAACATGTTAGTAAACTGGCTTCAAATAAACCTGCCAAAGGCAAGCCAAAAATTGGGAATGTGAAATTTGGAAAGAAATTAATTGAAGGTATTCGTGCGAATAATGAATTGTCTTCGAATAAACTTGGAAAAAGTAAGTCAAGTCAAGGTACCCGTGCAAAGAAAGGTAAAAAAGCTCCAAGAATTCGTACAAGAACACAAGCTTGGAAGAAGACTCAAAAACAAAGCAGAACATAAAAGCTTATAAGATTATTTAATATATGAAATTACTCCAGTTCATAAAAGGAATAAATGATATTCGAAAACGGAAATTTATAATTTATTTCCGATTAACATTCCACAGATCGACTCTGACATAATCTTGTGACCCCTAATTACATTATTAAACTCGCATTACATCAACTTTGCGCGTAAAACTTGTAGTAAACATCCCGCCTTATTATTTAATAACCAAATTTGTTATTTTACAAAAATTGAAATTTTTGTTCAATAAATTATAAAAGTTCTAATTTGCTCAATGCCAATTATCATATACATTTTAGATTTATAAATTTTTTTTTTTTTTTTTTTTTTTTGTAATTTGAAAGTTACTGAATTAAAAATTATTTTTTTCTACATTATTTTATAGCACAAAAATATTCTTTGAAATTATAATAAAATGTTTAATGTCGTCGTTTTCTATTTTCGTCGTCATCACGTGGAGCATCTCCTGTAGTTCTTTTTCGCGATCTATATTATTAGTTTTCAAACTTAACTTGAATTATGGAGTTCTTTTAAAACAAACAATAAATTACCCATGAAAGATGACTTACCCATCCCATCTTTCATCTTCCCTCCGTGTAAATCCCTATATATATATATAAAAGAAAATCATTTATTACAAATGATCTTAAGAAATATATTATTATTAATTAAATATGTTCCAATTAAAAAAAAATTTTCATACATGTGATCTTTCAACACTTCCTGATGCGCTTCTATCGCCACCTCTTTCCTCTTCTCTATCTGAACTTGGACTATTTACTGAGGAACCAGCTGGTCCAGTAGGAGGACGGAAAGGTGGTCGCATCCTATGTGCAAATGGTGCATCTGGAGGTGGAGAATGTTCCCAATCTGGTCTATTTCCACTCGGACCTAACATTGGTCCAGTCGGTGGTCTACCTTGAAATCCACCATGTCCAGGACGAAAAGACGGAGAGTTGCGATTTTCCATTTCCCATGCTAAATATTATCAATTTTGAAACGAGAAACTAATTAATTTTCTTTGGTTAAATATCTTAAACTCTGATAATTGACTGAAGAATACTCACTTGGTTCATCCATTGAAAAGTATGGTCTATATGAAATTACAAATATATTTAAGAAATGTAATGTGTTGTAAATTTCATTAATCTTGTTATTATTACCTTTCTTCCATTGGCATTCCACGACCTCGTCCGACCATCCCTCCAGGGATTCCTCCAGGAATTCCAGGCATACCTCTAGGCATAGGCATCCCACCGGGAATACCGCCTTGCATGTTAGGAGGCATGCCCCTTGCCATCCCCGGCATCCCCGGCATCCCTGGCATCCCACCTGGAATGTTACCAGGAATTCCTCCCGGACGCATCATATTTCGCATAGGTTGACCTCTATATGATGGATCGAAACCCATTGGACCTGTTGGTGGCATATCAGGGTTTGACATGAAAAAATTCGGTGGTGGTCCTATGGGGCCTCCCATTTCCTATTGACAAAGTAATAAATAAATAAATAAATATATATATATATTAGAAAATAAATTAAAACGCGTAAAAATAAGGATAGATAATTTACAGGTGGTGGAAACATTCCCATTCCCATTGGATTCCCTAATTTTATTATTTTTTTTTTTTTAAAAAAAAAAGACATAATCAATTTACAGATAGAATATCATTTGAAAGGGATGCAACGAATCATAACCTGAAAAATTTTGTGGGTATCCACCTCCTTCCATGTTAAATTCATCGCTTTGATCCATCGACGGAGGTGGACTTATGTATACATTTTTAAAAGAAAAAAAAAAAGTCAAGCTAGGTTTCTTTTTTTTTTAAAAAAATAAAATAAAATAAAATAAAATCGTATCCTGTCAATATAATTAAATAAATTAAATTCAAGTTACATTGGTTCAAGTTCTTCCAAAGCTGCCTCTCTTTCACTTGAGACTACTTGGATTACTGAATCATCTTGGTCTCGTCCACGACGTCCTACATGTTTGAAATCTGAGAAAGCTCTTCAGTTAGCATAAAACAACAACAACAAAAACAACAACATAATAATAATAATAATTGTTATTTACCTCGCCCACGTTGTTGCGGAAATCTATTATGCTCTTGTCCTCCCGATGAGGATTGATTGATGGATTGCAATTCGGGCAAATTATTCATTTCTTGTTTAGATTCATATACCTACATTAAAAAATATCTTTTAATTGGTTTTGATTTATAATATAATATAACATAAATTAAATCGAAAACACTCACATGTATTTTCTTGCGTTGATGCTGATCTTCACGCATTTGTTTTTGTTTCGCGCAATATGCTTTCCATGTATATTCATTGAACCCATAATTAAAGTAATCCGTAATATCCGCACCTGTTTATAATGAAAACTCTATTAGATATACATAAACAATAGCTTTCAATTTAATTTAACGAATCATACCTGGTTTTCTCCAAGGCTTATCTTCAAATGAGTCTAAATCAACATCATATATGCCGGTTCCTTCGAATGTCCCAATAGCATTAATATCTACACCAGGTGTGCGACTTGAAGACGGTTGAACACCTTCTATACTCTCCATGAACATAAATAAGTAGTTAGTTATGATATGCAGTCAATCAACAAAAAATCGCTATATTTTACCGTGTCGCATTCCAAGCTGTTTATTAAAGTTAGGTTTTATAATAAGAGAATTTCTAAAGGAGGAAAAAAGTTAATAAAAACAATTTTGAACAAGTATTCAGGTAATACTAGATTGAGGTTTCAATTAAATTGCCTTGTAGCGTTATCTGTCGGTTTTGGTTGTGGAGCATCCATTATAATTTCGATATCCTTCAAACAATTAAAAATTGGATTAATATGTAAAAAAAATGGGCATAGAAGATTAAATAATTACAGATTCGTCACTGTCTTCTTCTTCCTCCTCCTCCTCCTCCTCCTCTTCCTCCTCCTCTTCCTCCTTTTCCACTTTTTCTTCGACCGTTGGTTCTTGTTCTTCTGATGAGTCTACCAAATTTCCATTCTCTGTTGACATTTCTAATGGATCAATATCTTGCATATCACGTCCTTCTTGAATTTCTTGATTATCTTGATAATCCTCCTTATCTTGATTATTCTCATTGCCTGGAGTATTTATAACTTGGCTATCTTGGTTAACCTTCGTATCTGGATTATTTTGGATCCCTTGAATATCATAGTTCTGAACAAAGGTACTTTGAGCGGTTTTTTCATCGTGAACATCATGGGTATTTTGATGGTCTTTCGTTTCTGGAGGAAAATACATATCCTGATCATGAACCTGCTCGGGTTTTCTTTTTATTAAACGTAAAAGTTAGGTGATTTAAATATTCAATGTGGTTAAATGGATTAGAGCACACACGTACATTGAATCTACATCTGCTTGATTTACTTCTTTAGAAACTTCATCATTGACATTGCCGATATCATGACTTCAAAAAATATCAAAATGATTTCCAAAATATTAAGTTATCGATAATAAAATTAATTCGATTTTAGCAAGTAACCTATTAACAACATACTTTGTCCCGTCCCCATACATATCAAAGAAGTCGTCGTCTTATGTATTTTATACATATTATTTCGTTATCCAAACCAAACCAAAAACATAAAAGATAAAAGATTAAGATATATAAACAAGAAAAAAAAAATAATTCTTTATTAGATTTTGTTATGTTACAAAAGGTTACAAATTTTTGATTATAAATAACAAAAAAAAAAAAGAATAAAAAGAAAAAAAAATTTAAATTTTAATAAATTAACAGGCTAAAGAACAATGACTATATTATAGATAACTGTTGGCGTTTGAACAGGTTAGCACTATCATACCTTCTACTTTGACTTCTTTTATATTATTTTCAGAATACCCCTCTATTAACACCAATATATGAAAAGCAATTAGCACTTTTGTAATTTTGAAGCGTTTTTCAAATAAAGGGTTAATGATAGTTTCCATTATTGTAAAATAATAGAAACGCTTTGTTTAATTGAACTTATCAAATAAAATCTAATCTAACATTTCCTCACCCTCTTTTGATACTTGAGGATCAACAACGGTCTGCTCTTCAATTCCGCCATACAAAAATTCATCGTCGTTATCAAAATCTCTGTTAGCGTCTGCCATTCTTTTTTATTAAACTAAAAAAATTTTATCGGGGGAGATCGAGAATAAATATTAACTTTTCATGGCTGCGCCTTTGTCAGATGATGAAAATCATAATTTATTACGTGATAATATGCTTTAACTCTCGTGATGATTTGCATTGGTATCAAATCCTGGCCTGGTATAAAATTTAAAAGATTATTATTATGATTATGAATCATATCTTGAGGTCAACATGAACAATAAACTTGTTAGAATTATAATCGATTTTTTGATCATTATTTTTTGATCAATAAAAATCTGCTGTTAAATTATTATCACACCGTAAAAAAACCATGATTTCACGTGACTTGATACAATTCGCGTCAGTAAAAAGTAAAAAAGCGTAGTTCAAGTCAACCGTTAGAACTTCTATTCCTTACTTTGTACCTTTAATTAAATTTAATAATTTCTAAAGGAAAACTTATTCAAAAAAAAAAAAAAAAAAAAAAATATTCCTAATGTGTCGTCGTTGTAATAAGCAAGCTCAAGATAATAATAACCTAGCCTTTTTAACACCATCACCTTTATCTGATATTACGCGACAAACCAACAATGTAAATTGTAGACTTGAACCTTTAGAACCCGTAACCCCAACTCCAGGTCTACCACCAAAAAAAAGGATAAAGTGTGATAATTTACAGGGTAATTCTCAATTAGACCTTTCAGCGAATAAATTAGATAATAATCAAGTTACAACAACACCTTCGCGTCCAATTAAATACTTTAACCCATATTATGGATTAACATTACAGAATGCATTATTTCAAAGGGAAATTTGGGGAACTACTGTGATGGGTGGTTCAACCATGGCTTCAAAAAGATGGAATGTTTCAACGCGTTTCTTTATAAAAGATTTCAAAAACACGGATAATGATGTGTTTAGATTTCTTGGTGATCGAAATTTCGTTGCACCATTCGTTTGTTCTTTCAGTCATGTGGCGCGTGACGGAAAACTTTTAGCCGCAGCAGACGAGGAAGGGATGGTGGGATTTATTGATGCTAGATACGATAACACAGTGGAACTTCAACGGGTTCGTACTGAATTTCGTGCACACGATAATGCTGTCTTTGATGTTATGTGGAGTCATGATGATTGTTCAATGGTTACCGCCTCTGGTGATCAAACAGCGAAATTGTGGGATGTGGAATCACAGCAATGCAAGGCAACGTTTGGAGGACATACTTGCAGTATCAAATCAGTTAATTTTAATCCTTTAAATCCAAATTTGTGGGTGACTTCTTCAAGAGATGGAAATATATTTATCTGGGATACCCGCTCAAATGGATTACGTTCTGAGGGTGAAATCTTCTTTAAACCAGTTATCAGCATTCGAAATGCACATTTACATGATACCTTAAAGAAGAAGTCAAGAAAGAATTATCAACTTCCTCCAATTAGAAGCAAACCGACCAGCAGTGTAACCGGAGTACAGTTTTTGATGCATCAGGATTTATTATTGGCATCATCTGGAGCAAGTGATAGTATTATCAAGTATTGGGACTTACGAAATCAGGACGCGTCAAATAGTCCGATACCAACTCAAATATCTATTAATGGTTCCGTTGCCAAACGTCCTCATGGAATTTCAGATTTAATTTTAGATAAAAGTGGTACTCGCTTATACGCCAATAGTACAGATAATTATATTTATATGTATGATGCTACAAATCTAGGAGCTTCTATTGGTTGTTTTACTAGTCCAAATTACAGATGTTCGTCATTTTATGTTCGATTGGCTTGTTCACCTGATGGTCGTTATATCGCAAGTGGATCAAGTGATAAATCCATTTATATTTGGGAGGTCGATTTCCCAAGTGGCGACCCCGTTATTTTGAGAGCTCATGAAAATGAAGTTACAAGTTTAAATTGGTCGAAAGATATTGAAACCTTCGCTTCCTGTTCTGATGATACGACTCTTCGTATTTGGCGAATTAATGGTTCTGAGTAGTAGTTTTACGTGTGTTATATATATCAAAACATTCTGGAAGTAATAATGAAATATTTAGCTAGCATAATAACAAAGCACCATGAAATCAATAAAAAATTTATGTATTCTGTACTAATTATTGTAAGTGATCTGTAATTTACAAATCTAAAGTCAAACTTATAAAAAAATTATTATTGAAATAATAAGAGTGTAAATTATATGCTTATGTGTTACATATATATATTTTATGTATATATATATATATTTCTTATAAAATCAATATGAAAGAAAGTAAATAAATAAATAAAAATAAATATATCACAAAAAAAGATAATATGTATAAATATGTAAAAAAAAAAAAAAAAAAAAAAAAAAAAAAAAGAGTATATATATAAAATGATACTTGATATCAAATAAATTGTTATAAAACAAAAAAAAAATAAACCTAAAATCAAAGCTGCAAAGAATAATGAAAAAATTATTTTTTTTTAATACAGAAACCAGTTCCGAATATGTCTTGATTTTTTTTTTTTTTTTTTTTTTTTTTTTGCCGTTTCAGGCTTAACCCTTTTTTTTCCTTACCCTTGCCCTCGAGAATAGAATGAAATTCAAAATAAATAATAATAAATAAAATAATATAATATATAATATATAAATTATGATTCCTATATATAAAAAGTAAATTCAAGTTATAGCGAATAACATTCTTTGATTCTTCAAATTTTTTGGAAAAAAATAATATATATAAATGTTCTACAAAAAAAAAAGTTACAAAAAAAAGGTAAAAAAAAAATACACAAATATAAATAAACAAAAGTATGGTTACTATTTTTTTTTTTTTTAATCAAGATGCCCGTTGTTCAACTGGAATTGAACTTTCACTTTTGACAATTGAAGATGACGAAGCTGGATATATATTAGTAGAATTCGCGTTTTGATGATTTTCATTGTTTCCCTTTTCAATAAATGTCTGATGTTGTGGGTTATTATTATGACGTAAAACTTGTATGTCTCCATCACCACCAGAACTTGAACCTTCGCTTATATTGTCATTAATATTTACATTATCTTTTTTTAGAGACACAAATTTCTCACAACGTTTTAATATATCTTTTGAAGTTAACCCCTCGGGATTATTTAATAAGTCTTGATCATGTAAAATGGCGGATAAATCTTCTGGAACCTATATGTTAAAACATTTAAATGAAGAAATGAGAATTTACACAAAACATATAACGTATTTATTTAACATAAAATTTTCATAAACTTACCACCCAGAAATCATCCTGATATTTAAGCAAACTATGTACCGCCTCAATAGCTAAAAATGAATCATCTTTAGTTGGATCCTTTGATTTAGAATATAGTATATTAGGTGTTATTACTGTGGCAAGATTATGCAAATCCATCTTGCTCCCTGTTTCTTCGTCTACATGTGAAAATGAAGCTACCCATTTGAAAAATATGAAAAGTACTTCCATGGTATCGCGATTAATTTTTGGTAAAAGACAGCATGTAAGATGCAAAATTTTCTTACGATCTGCCTCATTTGGTAGTTCTATAAATTAGAATTAGAATTAAAATAGTGTCTAAAAAATATATACAAATAATAAATCTTAGTAAATTAGAACAATTACTTTGTGAAGTTATAAAGAGTTTGTGCAATTTGAATGTAAGTAACGGATCAGGGAGATCACGTAAAAATTTTTTCATTAACGCAGCAACTTGTACGGGATTATCTTCGGAAAGATTTACTGCTGAAGGGTTTTTGTCGATCGCTTCGCTAAGATCTTTTAGCCGTCGAATGTTGCCATTTTTACGGAATATACCCTCAACTGACATATCTATAATAATAATATTCAGAAATTGCATGTCAATAAAATTTCTGAATATAAGGAAAATCATCATTAAATGATCATAGTTACCCATTGTTTTCATAGCGGATATGCTGTCGTCAACAAAGCTAGGAACCTTTATACGACCAGGACCTGCACCTAGCACAGAATCAATACCATACCTTTCAACTAGGATTTCAAGGGGAACACCAAATGTACCTATTAAATATTAGATGAAAATAAAATTTTCTAAATATTTAAACTTAAATTTATCTAATAATAAGTTTTGTTTTAAACAAGCCAAACCTTTCTTCTTAACAGGCTTTTTCTCTGCAGGCTTAATTGACGTTACAAATTTTGCCCAGAATGTAGCTTTTTTTGATCCAATTAAGTCTAATAACTCTTCTAATGAGAAATGCTCCTTCAAAAGTTGTTCCATTGCAAGAACTGCTACATGTTTTACAATGAAAAATTCTAGAGCAGAAAGTTCAGACAAATAACACTTTGCACGTGAGTTGCGTCTTGATTCTTTATTTGCCTTGTCGTCAGGGATACATTCAGATGCCATACAACCTGCGGCTAAAGCGGAAATATCAGCCAATGTAATAGCTTCGTTTTGCGAATCGAATTTTATTCTATTTTCTTGTACTTGCAAATCGAACACTTGATCTTGTACAATCTTAACATGATGTTGTGAAGGAGCTCTTGCTAATTTATCCTTTGCAGTACCATCAGGAATTGAACTTGTAGAAGGCTCCGATTCATGTTCTATTATTCTAGATCGTGTCGCAATTCTTGCCGAAGTGGATAATTTCCGATCCATGTGAACAGACTTCATACGTTTTATATCAGTTTTATTAAGTGGGTCATAATTATCACCACTGGAATATTTTAAAATAGAATCCCTACGAACAATCACTGTTTCGGATTTCTGATCTTTATGTCCACGATTAACATCAATAACCGATTGATTCTGGCTTTCATCTTTTAATAAATTAAAGAATAAAAAAAAAAAAAAATATTATCAACAAAATAAATCGTGTAATAAAATTATTTCAAGAATAAAATTTACCTTTTCGCCTAAGTAAATTATATAAACGTGACAGTGCCACTCGTAACAAATATGTGTACTGTTCTAATTGAGATACATACTGGAACCCTTTTAAAGATTGTTCATTGGTGTCCTTTGGACAAAATGCCATTTCCGTTATCTGATTGAAAGACGCATCCTTAAATATTGTACGCAATTCACGAGAACATCCAGAACATCTCAAACAACCAATATGCCATCGAAAATGTCCATATTTATAGCATTCTTCTTCAACTGTAATGCGACACGCATGACATAAATCTGATGTTGCCTCACCATCTACATTTGTTACTTTATCTTGCTGACTACCTTTGTTTGTAAGTTCGGAAAGTTTATTTAAGAACTGTCCTATTGCCGTAGCATTTTCAAAATCTCTTTCCTTTATATTTATAAGAATATAAATAAATAAATCGGATAAAGTATTCAATAAGAAAGGTAGTTTTATATTAATATATAGTTACCAATTTCAATGCACCTGTAAGCGCGATCCTAATTAAAATTTTTAAATAATGTGCTAATCCTGTCACTAGAGATAAGAGTTCCTGTGTTATACCCAATCGTCTGACGTCCGATTCTTGTGTATTTGACAATAGAGAGAAAAAATTAACTATTTTCTTGCAAAGCATTTTTGCTTCCCTATTATGTTGAAGACCTAAAAATATCAACAGATCAAGATAAAATTATTTTTCGTGATTAATAAATAATAATTATTATTGCTAAATATCTTAAACAAACCTTGTCCACTTGCTTTTACTAATTGAGCTTCCAAGTTATCGATAGCAGTGAACAATATTTCAACGTGATTGATAAATTTTTCTGCCATTTTCACGCCATTAAAATAAGATCCATTTGACACGTGTACAAGCATATCCGAAATACATGCCGCTGACATTTCTTCAAATGTAGAAAGCACTGTCCATATATTGTAAACTTTTTCTTCCATGGCTTTTTGTTGATTTTTAAGTTCTTCGGGTGATGAAATTTCAGGTTCTGGTTGATCAACTAAAATTTCATAAAAAAGGAATTATGATTACATACCGATGTATACAAGAAAAAAAGATATTCTTTAAAAAATTAAATTAATACCATTTTCCAAACCTTGCATATCATCTGGATGGGTGGATAATTTTACATTCCAAAACTAAGCCACATTTAGTAATAATGTTATTAGTCAAATTTGATGTAATACAAACTCACAGGTACACCCATCAATTAAATTGATAAAGTTTTCCTCATGAGTTAAATATAAGAAAACATGTAACTAATTCGTAAAAAGAAAATACCAAGGTAATTTTTTTCCCCAGGGTAATAAAAACAAACATAAGTTTGCAGATAAAAATTCAGCATACCTTATGGATCATGTAACATTCAGGATGCCAATGTTCGTCGATACTATTTCGATTAATTTCTACAAATTGTTTTAAAATGGCAGTTTGGCAACCCGTACATTTGACTGCAAATCGAGTGGAGTAATGGTAATGGCAATAAACCTGTCCGTCATGTTCGTAATACGAATCTTGAGGACCAAACACTGTAGGGCAAGCAGAACATGTAAAGTGTTCAATGTGATACTTTTTATCAAGAGCGGTAATATAAGATCCTCGAAGTGCACCACCACACTTTTCGCAGATGAGGTTTAAACGTCGAAAATAGTCTCGTTCGCATAAAGGGTGATGTTTTCCTTCTAAACCGTCTATTGGAAAAAATTTAGCAGCGACAATAGTTCCACAGTCCTATAATATAAGTGATTCAAAACAGTTATAATATGTAAGAGTTTAGAAATAGAATTCTTTTATAAATACGATGATTGGTCACCTGGCATTTGAAGCACTCTAAATGGTATGTCCCTCCCAATGCTCGTACAAATTGTCCAACTATTAGGAGTCCACATTTCGCACACGTTGTAAAGGCTTGTTTACTATTACTGACTTCTTCTGGAACTACCTCACTACGATCCGACATTACTTTGAAATTATAACAGTCGAAAAGTACAAACGCTGATGGTACGTCAAACTTGTAGAGAAACTAAGGCAGGTGGAATACAAAAGGTTTAAACCATTAACGCACTAAAAATGGGCGAAAATGATCGCAAATGTAACTCAAATTATTATAATAAGTGAGTAAGTTGAAAAAAAATGATATTTTAAAGATTAGTGGTTCATTCACTTCGCTTCGCCCCCTTTGCAATGTGTTCAACCAACGTAAGTAGTACAAGGCTAGCCACATTTGTCATTCCTCTAATTTAGGAGATGACGTTCAATAAATACTTGCTATTTTTAGTAACAATTCTTTCAATCGGAGAAAAAAATAGATTAATTATTTGAAAGATTTGCAAAATTGCAATGTATGAAATGCGTACAAATTTCCATAAGCAAACGGCGAAATCCGATACGAGTCTATTTTTTATTACTGATGAATGACAGATAAAAAAAAATATATAATTTATTTAAATGAATTCAAAAATAAAAATTTTGACACATGACTATTAACATCATATGACTCAAAAGATTTAAAATATATATATTTCGATCAGCGTTTTGTTATTTGTACCAAGTCCAAACTACAATGTCTACTGATACAAACGAGCTTGAAAGATTTAGGGAAAAATGGAAAGCTGAAATTTCGAGGCTAAATAAGAAAGATGCTCAATCCAAAACAATATCTAACGTGAGCGTATCCAACACTTTAGTTGATGCCAAAAAGGTTCAACCTTTGGAGGATATCACTGAAATTGGAACGTCGAGTACGGTTGAATCAACAAAACCTGTTCCTGATCCAAAAGCCCCAAAGCATAAAGCCTTGGAGATTTATGTAAAAGCCGTTACGAATGAAAGAGAAGGAAATTTAAACGAAGGTTGTTCGGAATTTACAAATTTAGATTTTTTTTTTTCCTTTTAAAAAAAAAATAGTAGTTTATAATTATGCTCATTCTCATAACGGTCTTTTATTGTTTGGAAGCTCTTATAAATTATCGTCAAGCCTTGAAACTCGATCCTACTGTAGAGAATTCTTACAAGAAGCAACTCTATAGTGTAGTTAATGATAAAAAAACAGAATCATCCAATTTTTTTGTCAAACATTTAGAAGAGCTTCCACAATTTCCTCACGTTTTCATTGGGGAAGATTATGAAATAGGACGATTTGGTACTAAATCTTCTGCACCAAAATCAAAAGAAGATAATAATATTTCTAATTTAATAACCAGTTTTCGAAATTTGCAACTTGATTTGTTACCATTGAATCCTAATAAAAGAATTGATATTGCCAAACTTCCTAATGAATTAATAGTTTGCATCCTTCACCAGTTAATAGCTAGAGGAGATGTGACTTCACTTGAGAGGTTTGCGTTAGCATGTAAGAAATTCTTTCTTTTATCTAGAGAAGTTTCATTATGGCGTTACTTATGCGAGAAGGCGTATCGAAATAATTATTTGTCACTTGATGCTTCCAATTCTTTATTGGAAGAGTACGTTAAATTATATTATCATAGTGATTGGAGAAAGATGTATATTGAAAGGTAAATAAGTAAAATATAATTATTATTTATTTTCATAACATTTTTATTAATTTATTTCTCGTCAGACCACGTATACGATTGGATGGTATTTACATAGCTATATGCAATTATTTAAGGTAGGAAAATAAAATTTTTCGTATTTCTTGGATTCATCTAATTTTAATTAGATTCTTTTTAAATTGATTAGACCTGGATCTTCAGAAAATGCATGGAATCGACCCATTCATCTTGTTACCTATTATCGATATATTCGTTTTTATTCCGATGGTTCATGTATTGCTTTGATGACGACAAATGAACCCATAAATGTAGTAAAAAATTTTGGACCCAATTGCAAGTCCAAAAATTTTATGAAGGGTAAATGGGAATTAAGCGATGACCATATATTAATGATTCGAGCGAAAGATTATGGCTTACCCAAGTTTACTTTTTATTCGACTTTTGATTTAAAGTCAACACATCGAGGAAGACATAATAAGCTTACGTGGATCGGTAAGAAATAATATGAATTTAATGAGGCAAAAAAAAATTTTTTTTTTATTTTTATTAATTATTTATAATTTCATAGAATATTATGATATAAATAATTTTACTGATGAAAGAACTGATATATCACTAAATAACGAAAAACATTATTTGTTTAGTAAAGTAAGTGTTTCTCATTTGATAATTTCCTCTTTTTTTTTTTTTTTTTATGTTATTTATAATCAAATCTTTTTTTTTTTTAAAAAAAAAAAAAAAAATTTATTAGGTAAAAAGTTATGTTGTGTCGTGGTAATATACAAAATTTATTTATAATTTTAGCATTACAATATATTATTGTTTTTTCCAAGTCAGTTTTCCTAGCAAAATTATAAATTTTGATTATGTTTCAAAATTCAACTTTACAAGCGTATATATTTATTATATATTTTTTTACTATTTCGTGTCCGCAATTGTATATTATTAAATTAAATTTTACACGGGTGTCTAAGTGTGGAAATATACGAAATATACGTGATATTTAACGCCTAAATTAAAACCTATCAGGTAATAACAGCCTAAGCTGAATCCTATTTTGGAGAGTGAGCACTATTGATATCTTTGTCAAGATTTGTTTTGCATTAGGGACATTGGACCCACCTAGTTTTTTATGTATATAACCACCGTATCCACAAGTTTTGCTTTGTGTATTCTTCTGTACAAATTACTACTTGATCAGAAACTGTCAACGCGAAAATGTGACCCAGGGACGATGATTTTATGATGTGATAAAACATAAATTATTTAACCAAATTATGTGATATTATAATTTTACTTTTTTAATAAAATTTCTATATATTTGTTTGCCTTAACCGCCATTAAAATGTGATAACTTGTATTTTACTGCGGATTATGCGTTTGGTTTCGAATTATGTGATTTTATGTGTGAAATGCAAAATTATCACCGTCCCTGATGTGACCCTATACACGTCTTGGAACCAATGCGTCGTTGCCCGCGTCTATGAGACCGAAATTCTGGTAATAATACTATATGATAATTTTCGACATGCCAAGACAACTCCCATGAAATATAACCAAGATGAAATTTATTGCATTGTTTTATTTTTTCTAATCTTCGGAATTTTATTATCAGTATTAATTGAAAACTTCTATAGTTTCTGGCGCTTTGGGGGTGTAAGAGGTGCTAACGTTTGGGCTTTATTTTAATTTTGCAGTGTATAAAAAATAAGAATTTTGCAAATATGTATTTAAATTTGTTATTAAATTGAATGCTACATGAAATATAATGCATATAATAAATCAATACAATAGAAAAAAAAAACGAAAAGGATAGCACGTGTTTTTATTTTAACCGCGTGCTCTCTTGTTTGAATATTCAAAGGGTTCTAAATGTGGAGGGTATGGATAGTAAACAAAATTATTTCGGATCTCATCATCATTAGCCAATTCCGGAAATTCTTCACAGAACTCTTCATGTGACCTAAAAGTCTTTCTTTTTCTAGTTTTTTTCAATTTTCTCTCCTATATCTTCCTTAATTGCTTTAAACCTTGACGTCAATTCACTTGCAGCACTCAAATTTGGATTTGAATCTCTGGTAATTACGAGAAGAAAATACAGGCCCGAAGAAAGCGTCAAAGTTTTCTTGATGAATCAAAATACAATCATTAGGAAGATATTCCAATTCCTCACTGAAATGCTGAGTTGTAATAAAGATTGTATTTGCTCAAAAAATCTGCAAGATGTGTATATTGCTCTGCCTCATTTTGCAATTTTTCTTTCATCTCTCTGCTCTTTACTTTGGTATCGTTCCTGATTTTTTCGGCCTTTTTTTTTCATTTTTTCAGAAATATTCGAATTTTTCTCATGTTGTTCTTTGATTGTTTTCAAATCAAGAGATTTTTTTCTCTTTCTGCATTGAATAGCAATAAGAATGGGCTCAGGGTTATTCACTAAAAAAAAACATCTGCAAAGGATGCTGAATAGCCATTGATCGTCATGTAACCCGGCTCTAACTTAGCAGCTTTTCCCCCTTTTGCAGAAAGATCCAAGCATGGAAATTGATGCTTTAATTTATAAATTTTAACAGGTTCGAAATTGATCAACAGGTTCAGTGTAAATATCGTTACCCTGTGCACCACGAAAGAAATTCTTAAGTTTTAATAATTTGTTCTTGTTCATCACATCGATCATAGTAATGTGTGATGATATAAAATCCGCAATAAAATTTTCCAATTCTCCCATGACCAATCTGAATAGGTAAATATGTTATGTTTAGATTTCTGTAAAAATTCTATTAGCATAAATATACATAAAGAAGTATGGTATATCAATTAGAACTTTATCTTTTCCTTCCAATTTCCTTAATATCAAGTGCCTATCACGCTCCAAATGTTCCAAATTTTCAGTGGAGTCACCATCTTGTAGTTCATCAGAAATATCTGATTCGATTACCATAATATTTCTGTAAATAAGCTCGTATACGAGCATTTTATGATCTTTAGCATAAGTTTTAATTTTATATGCCCTATTAATATCGTTTGCGACATTGGCGTAGATTGTTGATGGGATTAGGATCCTTTTTTCGAAAAATTCCTTAATATTTATAAAATTTTGCCCGAAAAGTTCTGTAAAAAGAAACTCCAAAGCACGTGAAAGACCACCTGTATCAAGAAGTAACTGGTGTATCCAAATTTGTGGTACCCACACATTATCAGAAACATTGTAACTTGTTGCAAATTCTCTCATGATATCAAGGCGTGACTCCAAGGACAGCAGTGGAAGGTCAATAAGTTCACAAGAATACATTGTAGGTTCCATTGCTCGTATCGCATCCTGTGGCGCTGTACCTGAGAGTAGAGTCTGTACAAATATGTGACGCCCAAGTTCATACATTAACTGCTTAAATAATTTAAACTATCATGAAACAATTTTATAAAAAAAATTATGATAAAGTTATATTTGTATTTTTATCAGATTTTTCTTATTAATATATATACTAGTATTCAATTTTAAAATTTTTTTAATAATTATTTATATTTATTAAATAAATATCTTATAGAAAATTTTCATTCTTATTTACGTTATCATACTTTAGAAATTCCATTAACAACATTAGAAAACTTTATTAAGATGCAATTTTTATTGATAAAGTTAAAATAATATTTTTAGAACTAATTTTATTAATATACATAATTATTCTTATACTAAAAAGATTGACTTTTTAGCTAAGTGAATACAGTCAACTCTTATTATAACAAATTCTATGTCCTAGATCTCAACTTCATTATAAGGCTATAGTGAAGATTTTAAGAAATTTGATTGGCCAATTCGCTATAATAAAGTAATTTTATTATATTTTTTCAAAAAATTCATTATATCAAAAGTTTGCTATATCAAGAGTTGACTGTAGTAATATTTTTATTAAATTTTTCTGAAATTTGAAAAAATAGTAGACATGTTGAAATTAAATATGATATAAAAAAAATGTGTTTTTAAAATTATTTTATTAAAGGATTTGTATTTGATATTCTTTCTTTAGGTTATCATTTAAAATTATAATCACATAACAATAAATTTTGTGATTAATGGAATTGTAATAATAATTTAACAAATGATGAATTTGTTTTAAACTATTATTATATATATTATATTCAATATTTTGTAATTGCAGAATGCAAATATTATTATTATCTTAAATTTCTTTTTAAAATAATTGTAAAACTTTCACAATTATATAATAAATGATTAAATTTTAATATTGAAGAAGATGATAATATGAAATATGAATTATAATTAAATGATATTGAATTAAATGAAATTAAAGAAATACAAAATAATATAATGCTTGATACTTTATTACAACAAGCATTTTCAGGTAAATTTTATTTTAAGAAATTAAAATAATTTAATAATTTTTATATTTAATAGAATTTAATTAAATAACTATACAGTTTACTTATAATCAAAAATAATAGTTGATATTATATAGATATAAAATTCTTTATTAATAAATTATTATTGATTTAATAAAATAAAATTGCTTTAAAAAATAAAATTTTTATTTTTTTTTTCTTATTATATAAAAATTGATAATTTTGATTCAATCCATATTATGAAATATAAAAAAAATTTTTTTGTGACAAAAGGTTTACTATTAATAAACATAGTAAATTATATGATCTGTAATATAATTTTAATAACTTACCTCCTATATACAATAGCGATCATAAGTATCTAACCGCTCAAAATCGTCCAAAATTATTATATAATTACCTCTTAAATTTTTCAAAAATATAATGTAATACAATACATAATCATCTATAAATTTATAAGTGTCAATAATACAAAAAAAAATTTAGATAATCATTAAACTTTTGCTTGAAA